CACTCCTGTGCCTCATAACACTCTCCATTTTCAGTCACTCAGTTACTCACCTGACATGTATTGACCACCTACCAGGGTTCAAGGTTCTATGTTGGGCACTATGTTAGTCTAAATAGCAAGTTCCTAATTCCACTTACACATTCACAAAGAATTAATTTCTTTCCTTTAGATTTATGCGCTCTATCGAACTGCCGGGTTTCCTGACATTGTTGGAAATGACTCCAGATACTCTGGCCTCTGAAATGGGAACCCTGGGGACAGTCCCCTCAATAGGAGCCTTTTGTCTTATAATTCACCTTAGATCCCATTTCCCCAATAATGGCTGTGAATTATCAGTGACTCTGTCTGCTTAGCCCACCAAAGGGGACACTTGTGCCAGGAGCACGGAGGATCAAGTCACACCTCTGGGGAAAGTAATAAACACAGTGGCGGGGCTTTCTTGCCCTGAGGCCCCGGCTGCCGGCTGGTCTCCAGGCAGCACGCGCCCTGCGCATTCTCCAGTTCACAGCCCTGCTCACCCCTGTGCCCGCATCAGGGTCTGTTTGTGAGGGATTGGCATGTGGCTGCAGCCAACCCACCGTGTCTGGGGGCAGGCGGCCCTCGCCCTTTGCCTGTTTGTCAGATCCTGCCTATAAGACCTAGAATTGACCACCTTCGCTTGCGCACTTGGAGAGCCCTGCCAGGCTCTGAACTGACAAAGGCCACTGCAGGTGGGAGTTCGGGATGTCATACCGACGCAGGCAAAGGTTGTGCCCCTGGGGGCCACTGGGGGGGTGAGTCTCCAGACTGACAGGGCAACAGAAAGCACAGGCCACCTGTGCAAAGACAAAGCGTCTGCCTGGTGTCTCTCTCAAAGGGGCTCCTTCTGACCCACAGAGCTGGCTCCCTGCTGTATGTGCGCGCGCGCGCGGGGGCGGGTGGAGCCCCAGGCTGAGGAGCCAGTCTCCAATTTGTAGAGGTTTATCCTGGACATCCTGCCGAGCTAGACCTGGGGCACGTAAGCATAAAAGCTCCCTCTAAATTCACCCATCTGCTGCCCTCCTCTTGGGGTCCTTATGACTGTCCCCTAATATCTCCCCTCCCCCATCTGCTTCATCTCCCTGCCTCAGCCCTTCACTTACAAAACATAAATTTAAAGGTAAAAGTTTCAAAAATTTCAGGGGCAAGACAACAGAAAGTCAAGCCTCCAGCCAGGGACCGTCTGAGTGCGGAGCCCTGCAACGGTGCTGGTCGCCCCACGAGGCCCCTCTGTTTTCCCCCTACGTCTGCGGTCAGCGGGACGCTAATGAAAACGGCATCCCTTTATGTGCCAGAGATGGACTGATAACCTCTTCATTGTGCAATCCTGAATAAATATTATGATCCATTTTTAATTAGTTTTCTATTATAGTCACATATGTCCAGATCTCAGGGAAGTCAACCCTGTTTTGCAGACCACGTGAACGAAGGCCCCTGACTTTTCCTTGATGTTTATCTTGACGTGCTGGCCTTGCAGGTTCATTTCAGCCGCATCCGTTCCCACGCTCTGCCCTTAACGTGATGCTCTATGAATTCTGATACCCGCCTTCCTTCTGGCAGCGTCACTGGCCTATGTGAGGCAATGAAATAAGCAGGGACTCAGAGCCAGATGGGTCCGCCTCCTTCCAGCAGGATGGCCTTGAGCTAGTTAATTGCCTGGTTTCATTTTTTCCTTCTATAAACTGGTGATACTATCTGCCCACAGGCTTGGGGGCACCGCGTGAGAACTGAGGCACTTGGCAGGGTTCTAGCCGCCGCTTTCCCATGGGCACCTCCCTCAGGCTCCTCAGATGCCACCTCTTCGTGCTCTCCCAAACCTTTAAAAAGCTCCTCCCCCCCCCCCCCCGGGACTGGTGCGGGGGACTCCACTTGGCGGTGGCTGGTGCACCCCGCCCTGCTCGCCTGGGAAGGAAGGGGGGAGAGTTTGCGCTATTTTGGGCAAGGGAAGAAAAGCGGCAGGGCCGGCAGGACCTTCCGACACTCTGCGGCCTGAGCGTGCTTTCATGCTCTGCCACCTGCCTGAGCTTTTTCACCTGAAAATGGGCCTAACAATTCCTCTTCGCAGGGGGGTTGGGAAGAAGCAACTTCTAGTAAGAGACTGGGACTGAGAATGGCGTACAGTAGGTGCTTTAAAAATGTCATCTGTTCTGCTTCCCCATATAGATTTTGGAATTCAGCCTATGACTGACTTCCCAGCAGCAGGTGGATAGGACGGAGCATGGATTAAGGAGACAATGACCCAATTCATCCTCATTTTAGGTTTACGGCCATCTCTTGACTTCTCCGAGCCTCTATTTTCATCCTTAAATGAGATTATGAATAGGTACTAGCCCTGCCCACCTCCCAAGGTTAGTTATGTTGAAAAGTGAGGCGATAGATATGAACTTCTATACAAACATGAAGGTTGTTGATATCAATGCCCCAGGTTTATGTCACTGAACATCAAGCAGGACTCCTTGCTTTCTTCCTCCCAACCCGCACACGCATCTGCTGTCCGCTGGCATTGTCCGTGTGCTCCGCGTTTCGGGAGGATGGCCTCTCTGGCCGTTCACATCTGGGGCGCCTTGACATCACCAGCACGTGGTTGTTTTCCTCCTGAACATAAAGGACAATTACGGAACAGGAAGCTGACTGGGAACTGGGGGGCGGGTGGGAAGGGGATGCCACGCAGATAAGAAGGCTGCCAGAGATACGTTTGTACCAGCCACTTAGCCCAGGGCATGGCCTGAGGCCAACGTGAACATATCACTCATATATTATTACAAATTCTATATTAACCTATTAATTAGTGGTCAGCAATTAACACTGAATCGGAATACAAATTTGAATCTCTGCATGATTCCCGCCAAAGGGCCTGGCTCCAGCTTAAGTTTATGATGGGGAACTTACTACCTTAATAGCTCAGTAGGTTTCTCTGTGTCTCTTAAAAAGTTTGTTCTGTGCCTTCCTCCCTTTCAGCAGTATCCCAAAGTGGTCAAGAGCTGGGAGCTCTGGAACAAAACAGCCGGGCGCGGTCTGTCTCTTTTACCTGGCTGCATGACCTTATGAGTTACTTAATCTCTGTGTGCCTCAGTTTCCCCATTTGGAATATGAGGATAATAATAATAGCTATCTCATAGTGTGATTATGGGATTAAGTGTATGAATGGTGCCTGGCACAGAGTAAGGACTCTGGAAATGCCAGTAAGTATTGTTAGTCTCTGATTTATTTTCGCCTTTGTGGAAGCATAAAAGTTGAAGAATTAAAACCCATTAAAAGTAAATACACCAGGCAGAGAGATAAATGAACTGTTTGCATAAACATGAATTGAGAGAGTCACACTCAAAAAGAATTGTTCCCTATTGACAACAGCAAACATCTGGAAGAAATTAAATGGGGGAAGACGGTGGGTGGTGTGGTCGTGTGGGCTGAGAACACACTGTGACTGTTAGGAGGAGAGACTTCATTTCTGGGGTGGGTAAGTGATCCCCCAAAAGGGAGGCTGCTCTGGGCTTACACAGCACAATTTGATGCCCTAGGAGTATATACCCCTCCATATAATTTCTGTTCTGATTAGCATGGGTACCTAAAGTGTCTGTATCCTTTCTTTGAGCTAATGCATTGCCTTGAAAAGGCCACTTCCAAAATGCAAATATACTTACAAAAATAACAGGGTAACATTTTATATCTGTGAAATTACAATAGGAAAATTATAATACACAGTGTACTGAGGTTTCACCAAAACTGGCACATTTCAAAATCTATAATGTACATATAACTTCTCTCATGTACACATAACTTCTTGGGAAATGATTTGGCTGAAGTCTTTGAGTCATAAAAGTGTCTATACCTTTTGATAATTGATCAGTAGATCCAACTTCTGGGAATTTATTGTTAAGAAACACTTCAAAAGAACGGACACCTTGGTGCATTTTTTTTTCCATGATGGAGACAAAAAATTTAATAGTAAGAGAATGGGTAAATTGCAACATGTCCCCTAGATGCCAGCCCCAGTGCACCTGAGTCGGAGCAGCCCACGAGCTTCCAGGAGACACCAGATGCTAGACTCTAATGTTTAAGATGCGTACCCCTCCCCTTACCCCTGTGAAGTAGCGGCTTATAACTAGGAAAAGGAACCTCTCCACGAGAAGAGTGGGAAGTCACTGAGAAGAGGTGCTTGCCTGAAGAGGGAAATCTGGGATCTGGAAGAAGGGTCGGAGGAGGCAGAGAAGGGAGGATGTCCATCTAAAACGTGTACACATCCAGAGGGGCCCTTGATACAGTGGGTGAGCAAGAGGGAAAGGGACCCTGCACTCAGGAGGCTGGAAAGTAAACAGTGTTGCCCAGAGCCTGGCTGAGCTGCTGCAGGCGTGGTCCCCGCTGGCAGCTGTGGGGCAGGCTTATGGGGAAGCTCTGGGTCCTGGAGCAAGCCAGCCATCTGGCTCCACGACTGACTTGCTGGGCTACCATGGAATATGGGTAACAGCTTTATTTCACAGTGTTAACAGCTCTAACCGTGAAAGAGGACAAGAATGGTAGCTGCCTCCTTGACTTGAGAGGATAACAACACAGAGTATCATAGTGTGAGCCCCACAAAACTGCTGTTATTCAACCATTTGCAACATACAGAAATGGCCATTTCATAGGGATCAACCTCGTACATATGGTTAAATGAGTACAGTGGTTCTCAAACTAGTCAGTATTTTGGAATTATCACAGGCTTTTAAAAATTTCAAAGCCCAGGTCACACCGAGGCTGATTCAATCACAATTTCTGCAGGTGGGACACCTGGCCAGGTGATTCTAACCGGCTGATGAGTTTGGGGGCAACTGGCTTAGTACAGTGCTTGGCTATTATTAAGGCACTCAACCACAGCCACCTCTGCTTTCCCTCCATCCATCATTTATTGAGCACCTACTGCACACCAGGTTCTGGCAGGGCCTGCCTCTTGAGACCCAAGGACCTCCCTAGTGGCACTCATTTCTTGCCTTCCTCATCTGCAGTGTCCAGGCCCCGGAGCTCCCCAGACGACCTGAAGGTGTTGACTCGCAATGTGAACCGGCTGAACGAGAGCTTCAGGGACTTGCAGCTACGGCTGCTGCAGACTCCGCTGCAGGTGGACCTGACCGAGCAGGTGTGGAAGGTGCAGGATGCGCTCCAGAACCAGTCAGACTTGCTGCTAGCACTGGCGGGTGCAGTGCAGCGGCTGGAGGGCACGCTGTGGGGGCTGCAGGCACAGGCGGTTCAGACGGAGCAGGCGGTGGCCCTGCTGCGGGACCGCACGGGCCAGCAGAGCGACTCTGCGCAGCTGGAGCTCTACCAGCTGCAAGTGGAGAGCAACCAAAGCCAGCTGCTGTTGCGGCGCCACGCTGGCCTGCTGGATGGGCTGGCGCGCAGGGTGGGCGTCCTGGGCGAGGAGCTGGCCGACGTGGGTGGCGCGCTGCGTGGCCTCAACTACAGCCTGTCCTACGATGTGGCCCTCCACAACACGCGACTGCAGGACCTGCAGGTGTTGGTGAGCAATGCCAGCGAGGACACGCGCCGCATGCGTCTGGCGCACATGGGCATGGAGCTGCAGCTCAAGCAGGAGCTGGCCATGCTCAACACCATCACCGAGGACCTGCGCCTCAAGGACTGGGAGCACTCCATTGCTCTGAGGAACATCTCCCTCGCCAAAGGTAGGGAGCCCACAGTGTCTGCCTGGGCCCCTCCTGTTCAGGACTTTTCCCTGTGCACCCTCCCCAAATGCCCCAAAGTCCCCCCACCTCCCCAAGCTGACTTGACATTGGAAGCCCATACCTCCTTTATTAAGTCTTGCCCTACAGGACACTCGCAGTCTCTGCCCAAATGGCCTAAGACCATTTTCAGCCCTGTGTACCTGCCTGTGCGCCCCCACCCTCAGAGAGAGCACTCAATGTCCACTTCCCTAGGCATGACAATGGCCAAGGGTGGCTGCCGGGGGGACTGGGTAGTCAGAACTTGGATGTGCCAGTGGGAGCCTCCAAGAGTTCGGAGTGGGCGGATCAGGCTGCAGGCTCAGGCTGGGAAGAGGGAAATGCCCCTCCAGTGACATGGGTTTCCAATAGTAGAGCTACAAGGAGTTGGAATTCCAAGTTTGAACCTGGCCTTCCAGACGGTTATAGAGCAATACAGGCTGGGGCAAAAGTAGGTTTACTGTTGTGAGAACACAAAACACAGAGTTTATGCCTGTATTATTTATCAATTACTGTATTATTTTCCATATGAACAACTGGAAACCTACTTTTGCCCCATCCTGTATTTAGCCAGGTAAAAGAACACATTTATTTAGCAGCTTGTCAGCTTCACCTATACCTCCTAGGTACAATGCCAAAAAATGTGCAGGCCTCCGTTTGTATCCACAAACGTTAGCGCCTTTTGAACCCACTCCCCTGTCTTCCACTCCCTGTCACTGGTCCCCTACACCCCTCTCTCCCATTATTTTCTTTCTCTGTCCACCCTGCACATCACTGCCAGAGGCAGCTTTTATGAAATGCGCTTTCCCTGCATCACCCCCCTGCTCAGAACCATGGGTCCCCAAGTTCTGCTGAATTCATTACGAACTCCTTAGCCTGACAGTAGACAATAACACCACCATTTTGAACACTACCTGTGTCAGGTATGGTGCCAGGGGTATCCTTTTATGATGTCCTTTAAAAACAACACATACACTGAGATTCAGAAAGCCGCTCCCAGTTGCAGGCAAGGAGGAGATAGTGCCAGGATTTGGACTTTCTGATGCCAGAGCTGGTGAGCTTTCCATCGCATATGTGTCCCCAGCCTATCTTCCCCGCCTTCTCCTCTAGCTGTTCCCCTACCTCAGGGGTCGCAAACAGAACAGTCTGCTGGGGCCAGTGGAGCAGTGTCAGTAAGTAAGGTGACCTTAGAGTCGGGGGAGTAGTAGGCAGGTCCAGCCCATTTTGGCCAGGCTGGCATTGACAAGATCTTCCTATTTTTCAAGAGAAACCAGAAACATGGAATGTTCTAGAAATTTTTAATTGTTTAACACTGAGCCAAAAGCAACACATCAGGGGGCCACATACAGTTCATAGATGGCCAGCTTGCATCCCCTGTCCTGTGTGAAGCATCCAGTCCAGTGGAACATGTCTTGTCACTGGCCCAGCGACATGGCCGCCTTACCGGCTGCCATCGTTTTACTCCAGCTGTGCCTCCTGCTGCAATACCTCCTTCTTCTTCCTCCTCGTTGTCCAGATCCTTTTGATCTCTCTCCAACCCATCTCCTCTGAGAACCCCGCCGGCCTCTCGAGGTCACCCAAGTCTCTCTCTTCTGAGCTTCTGCATTTATCAGAGGAGAAAATAGCAATGATAGAGACTCCCATTTACACAGTACTTCCCAGTTCACAGAGTGCTTGGGGCATGTTATTTTATTTTAAAGTCGGTCCCCATTACTAGCTGCGAGGCTGATGGAAGGCAGGTTTCATTATTGAGGGCGGGGCAGGATTCCTGCAGAAAAACAACTGAGGCTCCAGGAGGAAATAGCTGATTTACTCAGGGCTGCACAGCTGGTAATGATCTGACCCAGGACTTTGGTTTTCAGCAGCTTAAATAAGGCATAATTTACATGCTGTAAGATTCACCCAGTTAAGTGTACAATTCATTAACCAAGCCAGGACTTTTAGCCCAATGCCCAGTACTCATTCGGTCGGCTCCACCACAGTCTACCCTCATCTTTCCATCCCTGCATCCCCCAGTGCGTAACAGGGCAATACATGTAACTGGGACTCAGTAAATGTTTGTGGAACAACCACTACATCTTAAGCCTGGGCAATCAGAGGACTGGTTTTCTTGTCCTGGGTCGTTTTGGGTTTCACCTCTCAGAAATCAAAGGAGGGCTAGAGGTAGAATTTCTCCTTTCAGATCCACACCACTGGGAGCTTAGCTTTTCCCATCATCTCTTTTCCTTGACCTCCTCTGCCCATAGCAGGTGCTTAGTAATAATAGCAGCTGCACCAAATCACGACCTACTATGAACCAGACATTTTGCCACCATTAATTCTCCGGGACATCAAGACTCCTTATCCTCCCATTCTGCAAAAAGGTATTATTGTCCCCATTTTATAGATGAAATAACTTTCCTATTCTTTCTTATGCAATTGTCAAGTGGCAAAGCCAAGATCGGAAAGTGGGTCATTCTGGCTTAGAAACTATGTTCTTGTCATGGATCATCCTACTCTCCAGGTAGAGAGAAGGGAGCTTCCCTTGGATTTCATTCCTGTACTTGAGGTGTTGTCCCAACCCAGGCTACTCCCTTTCTTCCTCTTCTAGTCAACAGACATCACCATGCTTCCTTCTGGTGCATCCTCCTGGGCCTCTCTGGATATTTCACACGCTGGTTCTTTAATTTCCAAGCCCAGGTCACTTGTTTGCCAAGGTTCTTCCCGTGGAATCCTCCAAGTAGCCTTCCTTTGGTTCTTAAACTAAGTCTCACACTCAGTTCTCTTGAACTAAAAGTTTCATCTCAGCCCTGCCCAGGCCTGCCTTCCAGTCTCCATACTTTGCATTCTTGGTGGGCTGATGGCTCTTCAGAGGGGACCCCCACTCGTCCCCTCTGGCTCCCAGGATGACCACTGCATCTAGGATCATCCTTTCCCGTTCTCCTCTGTCATGGTTTTCAGGGACACAGTTGGTATGAGTAAAGAGAATTCTGCTGGGCATATCAGTGTAATTACCACTCAGCTTTGACGAGACAAAACTCTACCCTGGCTTTTGGATAAGGGATGCTTTATCAGATAAGCTACCATGCATTTCTAGACTGCTGTCTTGAGTGGCCTTTCTGCCTTAGTTTTGTCCAGTTCCTCTCTTAGTCTTTACACACACACATACACATATTTTGCTCCTTCCTGGCTCAGAATCCACAAATATTCAGCTATGTATATTTTTCAAATATGAGCTTATTTATGTTATTCTTGAGCTTGACCCCAAAAGGTTTTCATTCTCTTGCTTTGTTATAGTTTTCCCCGAATCTTTTTGCCAGTTTGTCTTTTGTGTATGTTCACAGCCGTGCTGTTTTTTGCTTTGGGTTTTCAACACTAATCAGGTCTGTTGAAGTTGGCCTGTGGCTTTGAAAACAGCAGTGAACTTAAATGATCAGAGAGAGGAGGCATATGGGTGTGGCCGGGGCAGGGGGATAACCAGAGAGGGGGGCACACCTTGGGAAGAAGGCAAGAGCGAAGGCCTGGAGCGCTCAGCCGCACTCAGATGGCTCTGTTTGCTCGGTGGTCATTTTAATGCATCACAGAACCTTAGCGTGATAATAGGTCGCTAAAATCATCCAGTCCAGTTCCTCTCTTTGACGACCCTGGGGCTCAGGGAGGGCAAATAACTCATCCAAGTCAAATCCCGAGGCAGTGGCCCAGCGGGGACTAGAAAATACATCTCTTGAGTCATGAAAACAAGTTGGCAAAAGCAAATTTACCTGAGGGCCTCATTTTCAAGAAAAGAAAACACCATCTGGTAGAGAGTCCAGTTCAACAAATGTTTATAAAAGGATGGCGTAATGTTGTGGAGCCTCAATCCCAGGCTTGAACACTGGGGCTTGGGCCGCCAGTGAACAGAGATGAGTTGGAGGTGGTGTGCATTTCTGATCAGAGCAACATAGAAATAGTGTTTCTCCTCCGCTAAGGACTGGAAGGAAGCGTGGGCTGGTGACTCCCTGGGGAGGGTTGTAAGGCGCTCTGTCACTTCCCCTTCCATGCCTGACTCTCTCTTCTGGGAAGGGAACGGAGAGCATGCTGTGCAAATTAGCTGTTGCACCCAGCCCCGCCCACCATCCCGTTTTCCCTTGAGGCTCAGGGGATGGCTGGCCTTGCAGGCCAGGACCTCCCGCCCTTCTGAGTCCAGGTTTCCTCAGTGGTGAAATAGGGCTGACCGTCCCCGCCCCGCCTGCCTGTTCAGGGTGGCGGAGAACTGCAGGAATAAGGGAAGTGAGAGAGCTCCCAGGAGCCTCCCGGTGAGGGCGCTCAGAATCCAGTGCCCCAGTGACATTGAGGAAGTGGAAGTAGAGTAATTAACTGAGGCGCTCCGCCTCTGTCAGCTGCCCAGATTTAGCATGGTTCTGGAGGTGGTGTTTACGTCATGATTTGGGTCACTGTTGCGCTGGCGTCAAGCCCACTTTATCAGCTGTCATCAGAACTTGTTCTTGGCGGGTTGATGTCCAGATTCCGGCACACACAGGCCCCCCTCCCCATCGCTAGTTCCAGGATCCGGGAAGGGAGAACGGATTGCTTTTCCCTCCCAGTGGGCTGGTTCCCAGAAGAATCCTGGTGTTTCTCCCACATGCTGGGTCACATATTCTTTGTTTTGTTCTGGAGGTGCTCCAGCTGGAGTGGCTCACAGGCAGCTGGGCCAGGGCAGAACGGCTAGGGGCAGCGCGGGGGAGGGGGCCAGGCTGGCGAGCAGGCTCTGAGAGGGGGCCCCGGGCACCGGGGTCCTCCTCCCTGTGCCCCTCTAGGAGGTGGGCAGGAAGAAGCGGGCACACCAGGCCAGAAGCACATGAAGGGGGCTCTGGGGCTGCTTTCACGACGGAGGAAAAATAGACCCCGCTCCTCCTTAGCCGGGCCTGCCTTCACGCTCTGGCCTGCTCCGGTGGTAGAAAAGATGACAAAGTGACAGTCTACAAAGCTGAGAAGTTAAAAAGCTCATCTGGGTACTACTGGGACCACGGATACCATAATGGCTTCTCGGACTCAGAAGTCATTCTTTGAGTCTCTACTATGTGCCAGGGGCTGTGTGAGGCACAGGGCCACAGAGAGGGGAGCTCTAGCCCTGCAAAGAGGCCTGTCCTCTTTGGTGACCATAGTTTGCGGTGAGTGGCCATGCCCAGTAAGTAGGTACGGAGTGACCTGACCAGGCTCAGGGGTGGCCCGGTGGGGAGTTTGTGCACAGTAATATGTGAGCCTCTTTCCAGCTCTGAAATGTGGGGGCTATGCTCTGAGAGAAAGGGTCCCTAAGAGATCAGAAAGGTGAGCATAAAGGTGAGCCCAAGGGCTAAGGGGGACAGGACTCTTGGAAAGGAAAGGATCTGGGGACACCAAGAGGAGAATGTTTTTGCTGAGGTGGAAGACAGTTTGCGTCTGGAAGCATTAAACTGTAAGTGTGCAGGAGGGCGGATCAGTTGGGAATGACCTGCAGCGTACCCCACAGAGGGGGCGTGGCACGTCGTCCGGGGAAGGGCCCCCAAGGACACTGAGTTTCCTCGCTTCTGGTGAGATTAATTAAGAGAATGAGCATGATGGGTTGGTGAGAAAAACTGGAGACACAGAGCAAAGCCGTGAGGACCCCAGTGAGCTTGGTGCCCGTGAGGAGGGAGGTAGGGACATGACACGGGCATGTCCTCAATGACCAGCCTTGAAGAGTGAGAGCCTGGGGAGGCAGAGCAAAGGGAGGAGAGGCAAACCCGCTCAAGATGTTTAGCCTGGATTCCTGATAAAATGATAAAATGTCAGATCCCAGGACTGCACTACACGTGGGCGGCAATGACTGAAGAAAGGCTTGATCCTCGGAGCACAAAGCAGCCTGGCCCCATGAGACCTGGACTGGCAACATTTTAGTCTCCTTTGAGGCTACTGGGCCAGTACCACCTAAGGAAGTGACTAACGTTTGAAAATCTTTACTGTCCACCCTAACTTCTTCCCAATTAACCTCCAGTACAGGCCCTCGGGAACCACTTATTGGTGTCTTAAACACTATGGCCATGTGAAGGATGTTTTCCCGACTTCTCTCTGGATGACCCAGCCAAGCTGGGCAGGACCATTTCAGGTGAGGTTAGCATCCTCACACGCTGTCATCTTAGAAGCATTCTGATGAAGCACTGTGGAAAGTGGGGTACAGATCGGCAAGCATGGCCTTGCCGCTGAAGGTCACCAAGCCCCTTTACCTCCTTTATGTCATTTAATCCACTTACTCCTCACTGCACATGACTGAAACAAGAATTTTTACTTAGATTTTCTAGAACCAAGACCTGGACCCCAAGATGCCCTGTATCCGTGATCAACCCCTATCTTCTAAATGACCTCTGCCCCCTGGTCCCCCACCATCAGGGTCGTTCCGCTCGGCAGTGTCCTCCCTTTGTGAGAATTACTCTAGGGAAGAGCCATACACTGAGTCACACATATCAGAGCAGAGAGAACAAATTGGAGCATTTGGCCCTTCGCATCCTTGACGTGCTCAGTTCCTGGAGGCCTGGGTTCCACATTGGGAGGAGTGGAGGGGGCAGAGGAGAGTGAACGGCGGTGAGTGTACCTTGGGCAGGGGAAGGGAGGTCCACCCCGTGGCAGCCCACGGAGTGCAGAGACCCAGGGACCTCTCCCGGTGCCCTCCTGCAGCCTTTCCTTGGACAGACATTGCTGGAAGGGGAGTTGGGAAGCCGACTAGACTCTTCATTATGTCTTTCCTTTGCTATGTAATCTTAGCTGTGTTCTAAACAGGTTCTGTGTCTCAACCCTGTCACCTGAAAACTACGATCAATATGGCCTGTCTGACTTTGCTTTTCTTCATAGAAAAGAGGGAGATGTCTCCAAACGCAGTCCACCTTAAATGACTTGTGTAACTCGTGTATTTTAAAATTGTTGATTACTTTTTCTCTGTGCATGTGCCATTGAATTATTAAACAGCTGTCTACTTTGGTTAGGGTCTAAAAATAGTGCCAACTTCTGGAATTTATCAGTACATCTTGATCTTGGCCTTCTGGTTGTTTGGTGTGTATTAACACCCTCTGACCTCATATACTCATTCACGCATCAAATATTTATTGTGCAAGACATTGCTGCTATGCTGTGAGCGTGCATGTTTTGGTTTCCTAGGGCTGCCATAACAAAGTACTGGAAACTCGGTAGCTTGAAACAACAGAAATCAATTCTCTCACAGTTCTAGAGGCTGGAGGTCTGAAATCGAGGGCTCCACAGAGCCATACTACCTCTGAAACCTTGAGGATCCTTCCTGGCCCCTTCCTAACTTCCGATGTTGCCAGAAACCTTGGCATTCCTTGGCTTGTAGACACAGCATTGCGATATCTGCCTCCCTCGTCACACGGCACGCTCACCATGTGTCTGTGCTTTCTCTTCTGAGAAGGAGACCAGTCTTTGGTTTGTGGCCCACTCTACTTCAATATGACCTTAGACCAACTGATTACACCTGCCAAGACCGTATTTCCAAATAAGGTCATATTCTGAGGTTCTGGGCGGACATGAATTTTGAGGGGATACTCTTCAACCCAGTGCAATATGGTTTGCATTCTCATTGGTTCTCTATTTTCCTCACAAAGCAGCAGGTTTGGGGAGCTTAGAGTCTGGGTCTTTGCAGCTGGAATAGGGACGTCAGGAAGGTAGTCCTGTCTCAGGGAGCCGTCCATTTTTTTGGAAAAAGAGAACACACACACGCCCATGACTAAAGGACAAGGCAGTGTGAGGTAAATGTTGAATGGCTCCAAGTACATGTGTTCAAACAGGCTGCACCCCCTTTCAGCAAGAATGATAGATCAGAGAGGATTGGGTAAAGAAGGTGGCAATGAGCACCCTCTGGGGTGTGAGGAGGCAGGTAGTGGTAGCAGATCGACAGGGAGAGCTCCCGGGCTTGACAGCCTGGCAACAGCAGGCTGCGGTGTGGGAAGGCTCAGATGTGGTCTGGGAATGGCAAGATGTCTAGCACGGTGAGTGAGGCAGGGTGGGTGGGGGCCAGACAGCTCTGAGTTGAAATCATGGCTCCTTCATTCACCAGCTGGCTGTGTGGCCTCAGACAAGTAACTTCAACACCCAGCTTTCTTGTGGAAACTGAATCCATTCACAGACTCTAGAATTCCTGCCACACTGGAGTGTTGCCTTGGAAGGAAGCCCTCCTCAGGAACAATTAGAAGCCCCTTCTTCCATCCAGGTGCTTCAGCCAGAAATCTGAACATGATCCTGGCCGCCTCCCCTGCCTTCACCTACGTTTAGTCAAAGTCTATCTCCTCTACTTCCTACCAGCCCCTCACATCCGTCCAACAGCCACTCCCCCGACTCAGGACCACACCACCCTCACCTGGGACATGGCCTCCCCATTGTCCTTCCCACTGCTGCCTTCCCTCCTGTTCCGATCCAGTTTCCAACACTGCAGCTGGAGTGGTCCTCCCTGTGTGCGGATATGATCGTACTCTTCTCTCAGGCTCCCCCTACTGGGTCTGGTGCCCCCAGGGCCAGGCCTCCAAGACCCTCCACTTGCTCACCCTGCTTATCCCATCATCCGCCCCCCCCCCACACCCAGCTTCTATTCCCATCATGGCTCACAGATCTTTAAGCTCTTACAGGAACTCTTCCCTCTTCCTCGAACTACTGCCTTACACTCTGACTTAGTCTGTTCAGGCTGCTTTAACAATGCACCATAGGGACCTGGGCGGCTTAAACAGCAGATATTTAATTTCTTATAGCTCAGGAGGCTAGAAGTCTGAGATCAGAGTGTTGGCAGCTATGGTTCTGATGAAAACCCTCTTCCTGGCTTGCAGAAGGACACCTTCTTGCTGTACGGCAGAGAAAGCACGCTCTCCAGTGAGAGGGAAGGAGGGAGCCAGAGGACTATCTGGTGTCTCTTCTTACAAGGGCACTAATCCCATCATAAGGGCTCCACCCTCATGACTTCCTCTAACCTTAATCCCTTCCCAAAGGCACCATCTCCTAATACCATCACACCGAGGGTTGGGGCTTCAACAGTTGCATGCTGCGGGCACAGGCATTCAGTTCATCATATACTGCCTCTCTCCCTTTACTTAGTCACTTTCTGTTCCACCTTGAATTTCACTTTGGATATTACTTCTTCCAGGAAGCTTTCCCTGATTTCCTCCCCGCCCCCCCACCTCCACAAGACTGGGCAAGGTGGGGCCCTGGGTGCTTCTAAAGCATCACGCTGACCCTTCCTCTCTTTAGGAGGGAGTTTTGTTTCCTCTGCAGGTGGCCTGTTCCAGAAAGCTACCCTCTAATTTTGGTCATGTTTGTAACCCTTTCAGGACCACCGGGCCCCAAAGGGGATCAGGGCGATGAAGGGAAGGAAGGCGAGCCTGGATTCCCGGGATTACCTGGACTGCGAGGTAATGGGGAAACCCCTGGCAGGGACCTGGGCAGACCGGGAAGGGGAGGGGCTCCCAATCCATTCTTGACCCTGTGCTTTCGCATTGGTATTGGTCTTGGGGCTCCCTGGGACTGTGCCCAATCAACTTAACCTCAAACGCTCTGTTCTGGGAAGAGACTGATAGGTTATTGGTGTAACGATAAGATCAAGCAAATACTTTTTCATACCAAGTACCAGGATTTGAAGGACAAGGATACATGAGAGGCTTGCAGCTCCCTGAAGCCACTTTGTGCCCCAGGAGTCAGGGTCCATGTGGCAAGGGCCTTCAGAAGGAATTGAGGGTGTTCTGCGATCCAGACAACGGTCTTCTTATGCTGTATCCCCCTCAGTGAGTCACCAGGCACCTGACACCCCCACCTTCTGCCGAACCTGCGCAGGTCAATAAACACCTGCCCCTCTCTGTCCTCTCTGTCCTACTACACACACTGGTGACAGCCCTCAAGATCCGATGGCCGGTAGGGAGGGTACTTTATGGCCTTCTGGAAAGAGTACAGTATGTCCTCGCTTAATGTCTTCAACGGGTTCTGTGATTTAAGTGAAACAACATACAACGAAATCAACTTACCATAGGCTAATTGATATAAACGAGTTAGTTCCTACATCACCTCATCAATGTTATAATGGAACACATTGAATGAAACAATGCTATTCAAGGACATGCTGTATGTTCTTAGTCTCGTCTCAGAAGTTTCTGTTCCATTACTGTATCAAACTTTGTGTCCCAGTCTGTCCATTCCTGAGCCTCTACTGGGAGCACCATTTTTCTAGGAGAATGTAAAGTCTTCTGAATAATATAAGAAAAGGAGAAGCTTATCAGGGGAAACGTGTCTTCTTATTTATATCAGGAATCATATCACCAAACCTTCTTCTTTCTAAATCTCTAAGGAGATTGCCAGGAGCGAAGGCAGAGGCTGGTGGAGGGAGATCCCATGGCCTGGTCTCCACTCCCCGCCTCCTCTTCTCAGGGAAGCTCCCTAAACGCAAAACTGGGGATGCACGGGGGCTCCCAGTGTGGAAGCCCTTTTCCTGCTTTAGTAAATTGCAGGGTGTGCCCAGGGCATTATAAGTGGGAGACAGGTTTCTCCCTGTCAGAGAAAAAGCCCAAAGAAAACCAACTAACATTCAAAGCAGCAAAGAACAATTCATCAGTTAATTAAGGCTGCTCTGCTGAGCAGAAATAACTGTGGGCTTAAGTCAGGCCCCTGGGGGCCTAGGGCTGTCACTGGGTGAAAGTGTTAGTTGATTCTGGCTCTTCCTGGTGACCTGCAGGGGGCGCTGTGGGGCCTCCTGGTCAGGAGCCTTGGGGCCTGATCTAGTAGCAGGTGCCTCCTCTCAGCCTATGACCCCCGACCCCCACCTCTATATACATCTCTGTGTTTGGCGCAAGGCAGGGACATTTTGCTTTTTTTTTCCTTAAATATAATGGGGAGCTATTTCATCTTCCTCCCACTCTAAGTACCAGTAAACCCTTTTCATAAGTGTGAAATGAAGCCAGCCAACCCTGAGCTTTCAGTTCAGAAAGACCAGGGCGCAGATCCTGCCGCCACCACTCTGCTGTGTGACTGCGGGCAGGTTACTTAATCTCTGGGCCTCCGTTTCCTCATTTGTAACACAGGTGAAATAAGACTTACCTTAGTTTATTGTGCAGATTAAATAAGATACTTTATACAAAGCATCCAGAACAGTGCCTGGCACATTTAAAAAAAAAAAAAAAAAAAAAAAAGCTTTCCAAATCTAAATCTTCGCACAGCTAGAGGGAAAGGGATGTCTCCCAAAGGGGGCTGGCACTACCACCTTAAATCACAGCAGAATTGGATTTTTGGGGGGGGCGGGGGAGTGTACAGCCCAACTGGATAAAAGGTGTTGATGGGACAAATTTATGCTGAGCTTTGGACACTGCCTTTGCAGTGTCTATAAATGACCTGAGAGGAATCAGGAAACAGAGGCAACAGGAGGATTAATGGTTGAAGTCAACTGCTGAGCCAGACAATGACCTCTTAGGGCCCCAATTTGTCTCTTGTCTTCCCAGGTCTACCTGGCGAGAGAGGAACCCCAGGACTGCCTGGCCCCAAGGGCGATGATGGGCGGCCAGGAGCCACAGGAGCCATGGGCTTGCACGGGTTCAAAGGTAACAATGGATCTCAGAGCACCCTCACTACCGGCTAGCCCCTGGGCACGGGCACGGGCGTCAGAACGGGTGCACTGGCTCCGAATTCTAGCTCTGCCACAGACGTTGAGCAAGTCCCTTAATCTTGTCATCAAACATCAGTTTCTTCATCCCCAAACTACAAATTCTCATGAAGCTGTATCTCACAGAGCTGTCGTGAGGGTTAAATGGGCTGTATTGAATACGCGTGTGAAAACACTTTGTAAACTTCCGAGGTGCTGTTGAAATGCACGGGAGAACCAGCATTACTACTGGTTGCAGCTCAGAAGGAGCCAAGGCAGGAAAGCGGGCACGCGGGAGAAACAGCGGCTGCAGGCCCTGGACTACCGCCTCCCGTCCGGCACTGCCACAGTCCTCGGAGTCTGCCGTGGCCTTCATATTCCCCAAATACGCCAAACTGTAACCAGTTCTCAGCTTTACATCACCAACAGTGTTTCTTCAGTTTTTTTCCCTTTCTATCAATAGTCACCTTGTTTGCTTTTAGCTCAGGAGCTCACTTTCCACATTTATTCCAAGAGTGTCCACGCCTCCTATCATCCTTGTAGAAGAAAACGAGGAAATATGATGCTTTTTCCCCAGGCCCAGCCTCCTCACTTGCTTAGATCTAAGATGAGATCTAAGAAAAACATGCTGTTAATCATTCCCATCCCATGTCTAGAGTTGTCTCTTAATCTTGCATCACTGGGAACTTTTATTCTATTTTCTGGTGGTTAAACATGCTGAGGCTTTCCTTCCTTTCATGATCCACATTTTTAAGAATTGACTTTGAAACGGAGTACAAAAGCAAACATGCTTGTTGAAAACATTTAGCAATACAGAAGTGTAGAGAGTATAAAGTCAAAAGTCAGTGCCCTCCCCCTTGATCCCTTAAGCTCTTACTCTTTAGAGTAACTGCTATAAACAGTTTGGAGCCTATCCTGCCAGACCTTTTTCTAACCACATTCCTATTTACATATATGGTTGCCTTTGTTTTTTCAAAACTTGGATCACACTTAGTATCCTCCCTTAGAACTTGCTGGTTTGCTTTTTTTCACCAGACACCATGCCGTGGACTTTTGATTTGTATATGGCTTTCTGAAGGTACTTGGAATAGAATGTCTGGTCATTTTAAGGCTTGCTTGGGCTGTGCCAGGACCTCCTACTTCTTTATAGAGTGACATGCTAGCTGGGAAAAGAACTCTGTTCTTTTGACCATATTTTGGGAAGGAAGTTCTACAGTTCCCTGGGGACACTCCCTCCTATAGCCTCCCCCACGGGTAAACCGCCTGACGCAGAACCTGGGGTCTCGCTCTATGGAACTGAAGGCTCTCCCGCCTTTCCTCTTCCTATGCTCATTAGAGCGAACTTGGATGTGGACTTCCAAAACCTTGACGATTTAATAGGAATATCTTTGCTATGTCTTCCTTCTGCTGAATACCACACGCTCCTTCAGGATTTAATAAGTAGGAGATGAAACTTCTCAGCCGGGGGCCTCCTCCTTCCCGGGGGGGAGGGGGGAGCGACCAGGACGGGCAGCTCTCTCCTGCGGGTCGTGCCCTCCAGCGCTGCCACCTCCCACCTGAGGTCCTCCCCGGTCGTGGGTTAATAAGCCTCTGGCAGATAATAGTTCATTTACCATTAAAATTCATTTCCATTTCAAATGCCAGTTTTTCTCCTCTGTTTCAGGTGACCGAGGCCCAAAAGGAGAAAAAGGAGAGAAAGGAGACAGAGCACGGGACGCCAGTAAGGAAATTTTGTTGGGGTCACTGGACTCTGTGTGAGCACAAGAATAGCTGCCACCTAGAAAGCCTCACGAGTTTGGGGGTCCGGAGGCTGGATCCATGGGGTGAGGGCTTCAGTGTCGAGGGAGCCCTCTATCTGCTTCAGTGCTGCAGTGAGAGACAGCTATGCTCCAGGGCAGAGGCCAGACGTCCAGATGTGGTACGAGCCCAGGGGCTACGTGGACGGATCTGGAGGCCGACTGCCCGGGCTCCCTCCTGGCTGCCTCACTAGCTAGCTGTGTAATCTCTGCGCCTTGGTTTTTCTCATCTATAGAATGAGGATAAAAAAGCCCTTAACTCACAGGATCGCCGTGAGCATTAGGTGAGTTAATCCACATGAAGTTCTTATTACAGTGCCTGGGCATGTGGTAAAGACACAGGAAGGGTTCATTATTATATTAGTGTTCTATGTAACACACCAGTTCAGACATACTTCCTAAAATCATTGAAGATGTTTGCTAAAATTCAGTTACTGACCTCCTTAGAAACGTGCGACTTCCCCAAGTATTTACATGGGGACAGGCATGGAGGCCAAGCAGAATCCCTTTCGTTTTCCTCCTTTGCTACTAACTGAGCAGAGATGCGAGGGAGCTCAGTGTCGGGCAGACCACCAAGTCTAGGAAAGGGCGTCTTTCTGACAAGGGTCCTTCCTAAAATGTTTACAAGGCCGGCCAGCCTATCTAGTTGACACTCTTTTCTAGGGTTTATTCCCACCCCTCCCGCCAAAGGCTACATGTAGAATCTTGGAGAGTCTGCCAGAGGAGAACGAGTCTCCTAGCCAAGTCCCCAGTGAATAGTGTCCCCCAGCCAAGTTGCAAAAAAATTACCAACACCCAGTGGTTGACGGGTTCTGAAATGCTGCCACCCTGCGTGAGGCAGAAGCGGATGGTCCCCCTCCAGGGTGTCTGTAATCCCGCCTTGGCTCTAGGGAGACGGGGCTGGGAAAGAGCACCTACCTCCAGGTTGGACACTCAGGGACAGACACCTCTGCAGACTCACACTTTGGACCCAGATTGAGGATTCCCCTGAGGGCTGGGATGACACTTTCATCCCTGTCATGCATGACCAGAAGGAAACCTCGCTCCTTAATAGTGTCCTTTCCCAAGGTGTCCTGAAACCTCAACCTGTCTCCTGCTTCCTCAGCCTCTCCCTTTCCTGGGGCAGAGGTTAAGGATCAAATGGGAACAATGTTTGTGACAGCAGTTTGTCACTGAAGTGATTATAGAGTGACATGCTAGCTGGGAAAAGAGCTCTGTCAAGGTGTGCCTACAAGTACTCTGCACTCCATGCACCCCCCTCACCTTAGATGCAAAATTCACAAAGCAATATATGTGCTTTGCAGTCTTTCTAGCACTATCTAGAGTCCCTTTCAAGGGCAGCCAAAGGCTGAATTAGGAGTGTCCGGGCTAGATGAGATCTGTTGGACCCTGCAGGAGCCAAAAGGAAAGTTTTGATGGCAAAGGATGTCTGGATATGATCTAGGACATCTGTGACATATCTGAGTCACATTTATGAACTGGGCTGGGCACTGTACTTTGGCTTTGGGTGGCTGCCTTCTCCAGCTCCCTTTGTTGACCATGCCGAGAAGGACCGTGCCATTTCGCTGTGTGAAATAAACAACTCTTGATGGGGTGCAGGAAGGGAGGAGCTGAGGAAAGATGACCTTTACAGGGAGATCGGAAACGCTGCCCGCACACAAGAGGGATGCTTGTCAGGAACTGTGTGGTGGCTGTTCTTCAGTGGACCTGAGGGGGCAGAGGAGGTCTGCCCTAGCCGACACTGGGGAGAGGTGGCGGTCATCTGTCCCCACTGACCCCAAGGATGTTGTCGTCACTGTTTAACTCACCTCTGCTGGCCCAGCTGGCTGGGCTCTGCCCTTGGGTCAGGGCCCTGAGGCTGGGGGCCCAGTATGGGAGGTGGGGCTGAGCCACAGTGGTGTGGGGCTCTCCCCTCCCCCGAGCATGGGTGGGGAGTTTGGGGGAAGGGCGTCTAATCCACTTGGCCCTGGAGCCTGTTGACCACACCGAGAGAGGCTGATGTAAGCTCTGGACAGCCCCTCCTCAGGGACTGCTGACATTCTTTCCTGCCCTGAGGAGCCCAGAGGTCAGACCACAGCCCTTGTACAAAGCTCCAAGCCTCTCCTTCCTGCCCCCTGACGAGGCCCCAAAATGTGATGGACCAGGAAGTGAGATGGCTCAGCAGACACAGCCCCATCAATGGGAGGCTTTCCACAGCGTGCAGAGGAAGGCAGGAGGCACACAGGAATTGTGGAACAACAAAACCAAAGGCCATTCATCCACCTCCCGGTTCTCAGAGGCCCCTGAGCGGAAAGCAGACGCCCCCAGGGCCCGGCCAGAGGCAGAACCTGAAGCCCAGGCCTCTGACTTCTCTGGTTCTCGAACAAGAGCTTAGGCCCCTGGCCTTGACGAGTAGAACTGGGCTCCTCAAACCCCCAGCGATTCCCTCACCTGGACATGTGGATTTAAGGGCCTTAGGCTGAAGGGGGCCAATGCAGCAATTCAGAGCTGAGATCTGTGCCTTCCCACGGCCTCCTCCCCCCCCCCCCCCCCCCCCCCCCCCCCGCCTGACTCTGACCACATAAAACCCATGATGGGATGAGACTCCTTGTAAGGTTTCCAAGCACTCCGATCCCAGAGGCATTAACTCGATCCCTGGGACTGAGGCTCTGAGGAGGAAGCCAAGGATCATCTTTCGGAAAAGTGCAGAAATTCTGACCCACACAGAGTACCCACTTCTGGGGATTGTTAGTCATTCCCTGGGCCCAGGGCAGCCCCGCCATAAGATCTCAGGGGCGGGAAGAAGGAGCTCAGCCTCAGAGCTCTACCCTCCTGCAAAAAGGAGCACCGTGGAGGAGGACCCTCCTGGGGACCCAGCTTGTGCTGAGGCCCGGGAAGCTTTGCCGAACACCTCTCACTGCAGCAGCACATGCCTCAAGTTCCAGCAGGTGGGGATGTTACTACACAAAAGGGACGGATGAGAACAATGAGATTGACAGCTTCAAACTGGAAATGGAGGGTTTCCTTTGAAGAGGGCCTTATTGAGCAGACTTCTGGGTACCCATGTTTTAAGTCAATATCACAATGTATGTATACAAGAGCTCACAATTGTTTACTCATGTTTTGATCTAGAGCCATAGGATTTTAGAGTTGGGTGGGGTTTCAGATCAACTCTCCCCCGCCCAAGCCCACCCGAAACAGTTCAATAAACAGGAAGCAAGAGCACAGAGCTGGGGAGATGTGCCGCAATCCCCTGTTAGGGCAGGGCCCAGCTGGGTCTGGAATCCGCGTCTCCTGTTTTCTGCTTGATGAGAGGTAGAGGGTTTGGGGGATTTTTTTGTTTTGGGGTTTTTTTTTTGTTGTTTTTTTGGTTTTTTTCCAGGCAAGGGTGATATTAGTCATTCTGTTAGATGTTTGGCTTTGGGTGGGGGAGTTTGGGCAGGAAAAAAAAAGTTACATATATACATCTCAAGACAGAAAGACATTTGTTTTACCCTTGTATATGGTCCATTTGCAAGAAAAATAAATAGTATTTTTGCACTTAGGGGATGGGTAAAGGATCCAGTTTTGTTTAAGCCCACAGCATGAATTTAAAGCAGGATGTAAGTTCAGATTGTTTAAAATTTTTTTCCTCCATTTGGTTTCACATGGAAAATATATGCAGAACAACCCAAGGGTTAATTCTAAGCCAGCATGTGTTGATAGTTATCAGTGGCATCTCAGAAAACTTGAAGACTGTCCAACATCTTGTGTGTGTTCTTAGTATTTAGGGATGTAAGTCCCGGGGGGGAGGGGGCGGCAGTGGGCACTCCAGTGTGCAGCATAGGCTCAAAATAAACGATAGGATGGCGGCTTCTAGACAGTTTTTTCCCCTGGCTGCTGATACGTTTCTATCTCTGTTTTATTTTTTAAATTTATTTTTTGTTGTATTTTTTTCCATTGCTATTTATCCGCCTTGCACCCCTCCCACACACTGCAATCAGCACACTGTTGTCCATGTCCATGGGTCCTTTTTCCTTCTTGCTCAACCCCTCCACCCCGTAACCCCACCCCCGCGCCCAGAGCTGTCAGCCTGCTCACCATCTATGGGTCTTGTCTCTATTTTGCTGTTAGTTCAGCTTGTTCACTAGATTCCACATATGAGTGAAATCGTATGGTATTTGTCTTTCTCTGACTGGCTTATTTCAAGTAGCATAATGTTCTCCAGGTCCATTCACGCTGTCACAAAGGGTAAAATGATCTTCTTTTTTACAGCCAAGTAGTATTCCATTGTATAAATGTCCCATAGTTGTTTTATCTACTCATCTACTGATGAGGAAGAGTCCATCTCTGTTTTAGAATAAGAGATGCAAAGAGAGTCCTTTGGAGTCCGTGAATTCTCTTCCTCCCCTCCTGCCCCTACAGCTGCTGTAAGCAGTGCCTCTAGGAATCGGTTTAAGATAGCGTAGCACTGGAAATTAGCAATTTTTTTCCAGGCAGGGAGGGACAGAGCTACTGGACCTTTTATATACAATTATATTTCTTCTTTCACTAAGTGCATTGACATCCTCTTTTCTTCACACACCTTGAATACCCCCAAAATAATTCAATTTAAAAGTAAACTCCTAAAAAAGTGAATCATTCCCGTAATACTACCAACACACTCATGCCTGTCACTGTGGGGAGCGTAGCATCTGTGCACATTATTTCACTTAATTCTCACAGTGGTGCTCAGGAAGCATGACCAGGCGCATGTGCGAGAGAGGAGGAGGCTGAGGAAAGGGTAAGGGCCCTGCCCGAAGTCACCAGAGCTCACACGGTGTGGAGCCAGGACACAGACCAGGTCTGTCTGGCCCGGGGTCCTTCTGCTACCGTTTTGAGTTATCTTTCAGTTTTCTGGCCTTTGGCAGCACGGGGTCCTTCCTCATGGGCCACTCTGCCTGTTCTTAGTGGTTTAGGATGAAGG